AATGCACATCATTTCTTCCTAAATTTAGCAAAATTTAAATTTGAGAAAATTTTGGATCTTGCATATCTCTAACATGTAAGTTTGTAAAATTTAATTTTTTAGTGCTTTTGAGCATTAGTTGTATTGCTACTTTTATCATCAAATGCTGGCTGGTATTTGTTGAAAGAATTATAAAGCAAATATCAATTTATCAGAAATTTGTGTAGAGTGGTAAACTTTATGTGAAGGATGGTAAAGCAATCACCACAAGAATACTAGCTAGTTTTTACTCTGTGTCCGTATAGTTTCTTGATCTTTCTTCTTCTAAGGACAGGGAAGCAGTGACCAAATAGTAGCCTCCATGATAAATATGTTCTAAAGAACTGTTTTGGTTGAAGCATATGCAGAAAGCCTAGTCTAATATAATGCGGCATATTGTATGTGGAAGCAGATAGAAGTTTGGATGTCATACAGTTTTTTCATTTTGAATAATGATTTTTAAATAAAAATTTAACATGAAATGAGTTTATTATTTATTAATTTATTTAGAAATAACACCTTAAAATGTGCTTTTAAAATTTCTAATGCAATTGATATTAATAAATATAAGCCACGTAAACAAGAAAAAAAAACAAAGCAAAAGAATTGTTTTGTTTTGGCAGTATAGGATATAAGAAAAAGTGTTAAATTGTAATGTTTTTAAGCCCATAACAGGGATCCACCATTTATTTTTTTTTTAAATGATGAAAACTTATCCTCCTAACACAGTCACATACTTCTGTAATTGCTAAACACATTTTAAACTTTGAGATGGAATTGAGAATTCTGATTATATTTGTCTTTCCTTCTTCTTTGGTTCAAATTCTACACCTGAATACTTAGTGGTAAATGAAGGAATCTCTTAAGTAAAACAGAAAAATTAAACAGTGTACCCTGTGTATTATGAGACTAGAACACAGGTCTTCCAACTCTTATTCCAGTGGCGGAAATGCCACAAATAACGCAATGGGTTTTAACATTGTACTGACCTATGTTGGAATTACTAGTTAGTGAGTCAGTAATAAATTACATTTCTTGTTACCAATTTAAACAAATCTGTCAGTAGTGACATGTGCCATCTTTTCAAATTCAAATACACATTAGTTTTAATAACTAAAATGAAAACTAAAAATCATTATATCCCTATAGTTTATTGAGTATAAATATAAAGATAAAATAATAATTCAAGATAACAAGTAGGGATTATTCATCCAGCTTTCATGAGATCAAATGCAGTGGGAGAGAAAGGTATTGTTGTACATTTGAAAAGTTAAACAACAACAAAACAGAGAAGATACAAACCACTTTCTAAAAAAAATTATTTTTCAGAAAAGTTATGATCTGATTTAATCACACATTTGTAATGCAGCTATTGCCACTTCCAAGATAAGTTATTGTAAAAATAAATACTATAAATTTGAAAGGTTAAGGTAATAAAATGAATATTGCATTGCATTCTATTTCTCTTTATTTGTGTTAGAATATCATCTAAGTAGGAAATGAAAGGGTTGGGGATGTTCTGATAACATTTACTAAATAATGCCATAATAAATAAAGGTCTGCCAGACCTTTCCCCACATTATAAAATATTTCTATTATGCTAAAAAATCATGTCAAACCTAAAAAGCAGTGAATACAATAAACAAACATGCTTAGCATTTGAAAACAGGAAGAAAACAAAGGAAGTGGAGGCTTGTGCATGTCTATGTCTTGCATTTAATGAATTTTATTAAACAATTATTAGAACATACATAGTTTCTATGGTTTTAAAAATAGCTGTGAATATAAAAATGCTTCACCTTGAACATTCTTTATCAGTTCCTCCCTTCCTAATTCATGGTTAGTAAAGAAAATTCTTTCCCAAAAATTGCCTTTGTTAAATGAGCCAGAATTTACACCATTTAATTTATTTATTCAATCATACACTCACATGCAAGTACCAGACATGTACAATACTATTCCCTTGTTTCAAAAGTTTTTCTAAATATGTGGTGATAGAAGATGATTTGACTTTGGGTGATGGGCCCACAGTGCAAGACACAGATCACATTCATAAAAATGTACACTTAAAAATTATCTGATCTTATTAACCTCTGTCTCCTCAATGTATTTAGTTTTTAAAAATGTAAACACAGTACACTGGAAGAAATTGAAACATAAAAGACCACAGCATACTTTAATTTATGTTTATGGTAAAATAAATTTTAAATGCTTATTATTGAAATACAACTGTTAAAAATGTCATTTTAATTTTATGTTTAATAGGATTTATAGAAGCCCTAATTGCTTGATCACATGTCAATATTTAATGTATATGCTGTGTAATACACAATAGAATTTACATTTGTATAGCATACACTTCAGATTTAACATTTCATTGATACGTGACTTAGAGCGGGGTCTTGCAATTGGTAATTGAAATATTCATCCTTTTATATATGTGTTCTATTGAAATTATAAAAGCATCCTACGTATGGATATATCATTTAACATTTAACATTTTTGTGAATTTAAACTTTGTTATTTTCAATTTACTCCTTATTGTCTCTTACAATAGATATTCTCTTGGCCTTCTATCTTCTGCATTTGTATTACAATATTTATAATTTTTACTTTCAAAAATATTGATTTTTCTTTTCAATTTAAATTGACAAATGCTTTATAAAGAAAACAGATAAGGTTAAGTCCTATTTCAAACTTTTTGGACCGAGATGACACCTTCTTAGCTAGGTGTTGTCCCTAACCTCACCCAACCAAATATTCAAGTTTAGACGTAAGTACATCACAGAAACGTACCCTTTCTACACACACACACACACACACACACACACACACACACACACAGCTTTTGTAGTGTTCAACATCTCTTATTCCTAGTAACAGCATTATCCAGCTGAGCTCTTTGACCATATGGATTTTTCTTCTGTGGGCTTACAATCTTTTTTAAATTTTTATTTTATTTTTTTTTAGAATCACAGATTTGTGTTGAAGCTACCATGAAATCTTTAGACTCATTTGCAATACTTAAATCTTAAAATGAAGAAAAAAGTAGAGGTAGAATTCCTACTTATAATACATTTTTGAATTGGCAGAAACGACAATTATGCTTCAAAATACAAAATGCAAATTTTGTTAAAAGGAATTTTAAGACAGCTAGAACATTCACAAATGGCAGAAACAAAATTTAGAGCAGTTGAAAACTCCAGTAGAACTAAACTTTAGCCTACCATACGGATGGGTGTGAGGAAGAGAGTTACAACTCAAAGCACAACTTGAGCGAGTTGTAGTCATTTTTACACTATAAATAAAGGGTCATAAATAGCCTCAAAACTATAAAGAGACGAGTGAGCAGTCCTCTGGTCATAGCTTCTTATTTCTAAGAGAAGAAACCAAGCTCTGGCCTGCGTGCTCAGTGGTTAGAGCATGAGTCCCCGTGCACCAAAGGGTCTGTCAGGGGCAGGTATATGGTTGGTTTTATCCAGTCTGGTTGAAGATTGGCCTGTTGGGGTTCTTGCAGGAGGCTGCCAATTGGTGTCCCTCCCTCTCTCCCTCTCTCCCCGCTCCATCCCTTTTTCCCACCCTTCTTCCCTCCCTCCCAGTCTCTCTAAAAAATCAATTGGAAAAATATTAGTGGGTGGAGAGTAACAAAAACTAAAGAAAGAAAAAAAAGAGATCAAGGTAAAAAGGCAGATTTTTGTCTAAAACCACACAACTAATATTTGTTAAGAATCAGGTCTTGCTTTTTTTAAACCTCACTTGAGGATATCCCCCCCACCCCCCATTGATTTCTAGAGAGAGTAGAAGGGAGGGAGGAAGGAGAGAGGGAGAGAGGGTAAGAGGGAGAGAGAGAGAGAGGGAGAGAGAGACATCCATGAGAAACATCAATGGATTGCCTCCCACACAGGGGGATAGAACGTGCCACCACTTGTCCTTTATCAGGAATCAAACCTGTGACCCTTCGGTTCCCTGGGCCAACACTCTGACCATGAGGCCAAACCAGCCAGGGCAAGAATCAGGTCTCTTTAAAATACTGCTCGAGGGATCATTATCCTCTTTTTAAAAAAGTAGTATGGATAGATAGTTATTTGTATATCCCAGGAGCCCATCAGAGCCTGTCTCTACCTT